TTGACCCAACGGGTTAAGAGGCGTATTTAAAAATTAAAATTTTTGCTATTTAGAGATCATGTGATCCGAGCATTATTCAAAACAAAGAACGAAATCATAAAAGTTTGCAATTCTATTTGCAACATACCAAAAGAGAATTGCAATATATCCAAAAAAATCACCTTTTTGCAGCATACCAAAAAAATTGCATTAGATGAAAAAAATTGAAGACATGCGAGATGGTGAAGGTAATATCTGTGAACTGAGTAGTCAAATTTGGATAAGAAGCGAGTATATGTGAAAGCTTGTATGTAGTTCGATTAAATATGTATATAGTTAGATTTGTACACACTACAATTTATGGTGATGTAGAATGCACTTGGATCAATTTTATACTTCCCAATAGATTTAATATCATTACTTTGTTTTGCTGTTAAGCATCCCATGTTATCTTCCGTGCTAATTCATTTGCGTGTATAAGGTGTGTCAGTCTTTTTGATTGGCGTGCTGTCTTGCTTGATTGCAGGCATGGATGACAAAACACAGGTAATCTGTATGGAGGTTTGCAAGTTTCCAAGTTGCTAAAACTTGAATAACCTCATCACCTGTCCCATTGCCCTGCACATTTCTTTGCCTGCACACAGGCGATCATACCGGGAATGTTATGGAGTTCTAGACGCCTCTTCAAGCTTTCAACAAAATCCCAGTTTCTTACCTCAATTCGTATTATTTCTCCAGGAAATGATATTCTGTTTGATACTCTTCACAATCATTTCTCCTCTGTTCCAGGGACTTCCAGAATTATCCTCACCCCACAAGTTGTACAATCCACTCTATTGAATTGCAATTCTGATCTAATTTCTCTTTGTTTCTTCATTTGGTGTGCTAAGCAACCCAATTACTTTCACAGCAGAGGAGATTTTGCACACATGGTTAATGTAGTCTCTCGGCTCACTCAGCGGTTAGGGACATTGAAAGGAGTTCTTGATGAATTGGTGAGTGTGGGTTCTGTGATAAAGCCACAGGTTTTGTTGCTCTTGTTGAGAATTTACTGGCTCGGAGGAATGCACGATTTGGTTATTGAGGCTTTTGGGGAGATTCTCAGGTATGGCTACACACCAAACACTTTTGCTAGGAACATATTAATTGATGTGTTATTCAAGATCGGGTGTGGGAGTGTAGCACTTCAAGTTTTGAAGGAGACGTTGTACCCAAATTTCTTAACCTTCAGCATTGCTGTGTGTAATCTTTGCACACTCAAAGATTTGGTTAATCTCCAATCTGTACTTAGGAGCATGTTGAGGAAAGGATATTATCTTAACCCAGAGACATTTTCATCCGTATTGAGCTGTTATTGCAAGTCAGGTCAATTATCAAAGGCTACACAATTATTAAGCCTTATGATTGTCTTGGGAGTTCCTTCCTCTGTCACTGTTTGGAGCATTTTGATTGATGGATATTCTAAATCCGGCAATCTTGATTTTGCCGGTCAATTGCTTGCTAAGATGGTCTCTAGTGGACATAAGCCTACTGTGGTAACATGCACAGCTTTAGTAAAGGGATATTTGGAATCTCATAGGCCTAGCCATGCATTCAAGATCCTAGACACCATGAAACATAAAGGATGCTACCCTGATCTGGTCATGTGCAACATGCTAATAGATTGTCTCTCAAAAATGGGGAGCTATGATGATGCAATTATCATTTTCTGTAGTTTAGGTGAACGTGGACTGACCCCTGATTCTTATACAC